ATCGAAAATCAAAAAATCGATAAATGGAAATAATAAAAAAATCGAAAAAGAAATTCCGTAACGAAAATAAACCTAACACCCCCCACTCCGACCGGCACAGCGGTGCGGCGTTGAAAGCCGTGCATCGTCTAACGTCGTTTCAGTTCGGCAGACTTCGGCACGGTGTTTGTGTGCGTGCGACTAGACGTATGCGTGTAGACTAGCTGCTAACTGCTCATAACTGATTCTATCTCTTTTAGACACAATTTCGGAAAAATAGAATTTGAAAATGAATAATGATCCACAAGAATCCACAACAAAATATGGGACCACCATTGACGCGGTATTTTCCAGATATTTAGAGGATATCAAGTCTCAAACTTATGTTTCTTATTTCAGTTACCATAAACCTATAGTTTCAATGATAAAAATTCCTGAATAACCTACATGTATTGTAAGATAATAAAAATATTTTAAACAATATTAACTTCTCATTTATTCAATAAAAAAAAAATTTGTTTTCTTATCGGTCACCAAGCTCAAAAAGTATAACTTGATTAATATCAAAGAAAAAAAAAATACTGCATAAAATGATGCAATAGCTTTACCGCAGCAGTCCCCGAGTGCCACACGTATTTTTTAGAAAAAGTATTCTCTTCCAATAAATTAGTTCTTAAATTGTCAGAGAATATACATTTAATATAGAGATGTGTTAATAATATACAGGTTTCTAAAAGGCGCGGAAAAAATGCTACCACATATTCCTAACCCAACTTACCTTATTCCAAAAGTGTATGATTTCGAAAATACAGAGTGTTAAAAGTTCAATTTGGTTTTAGTTTTTCATAATTAATTTTTTTAATAATTGTTGCATTTTCACAATATTTGGATAGGGGGGGGAAAGGTGGTTGTAGGGTGAAAATTTAAAAGCTGCTCTCATTTTTATTGTACCTACAATTTAAAGGGCACACATTTTTTAAATTGAAAAATCTCAAAAACGTATGCTCAAATCAACTCTTATCACGTATACTTTTTTTAGATAAAAGACTTTGGAGAACAAGGATTTTTATTTAAGTTAAATACAGTACAAGGTACCGCAGGTGACGCCTTTTAAATTTTTAAATTATTTATTTTTGAAATCATTCAGTTTTGGACTCAGGTAAGTTGGGTTAGATCGTCATTTTAAGCATCAGGAATATGTGGTAGCATTATTTCCGCACCTTCTAGAGACATCCTTGCATAAAAGAAAATATTTATCCCACAACTACAAATATATTTTTAATTAGTTTAAAATTTATTTCATCAAATATTAGTTCAATAATGTATTTCTTAAAATATAAATAATTCTTTAACTGGTTTTCTTTGATGTACTCGTACACAGCATCTACTTTTTTTAGTATCAACAACTTTTTTAGTAAAGTTATTAGTCTAAAGGTCGATTTTTCAATGTAATATTAACGGTTTTATAATGCTGTTGGAACAAACCTAATATCACCCCCTAAAAATATACGAATCTTTTTAATTTAGAGCGTTTAGAAGGGTTGACGAAAATTTGTCGCATTTCAAGTTTTCTATTAATATAAACGTAAACGTCCAAAAATATATATCCACAAATCAAACGAAAACAATAACCGACGTGTCCACCACCCCCACGACAATCGTTACACCAACAAACCCATTAAACTGTCAACGGGGGGCGAGCAGACATGACTCGAGGGGGTAAACCAGAAAACAAGGATTTCTCATAAAGCCGCAAGATAGAAATGAAAAAAATAAAACAAACAAAAGCGAAAATCAACAATTACTGAACGAACAAGGATCGCGAGATTTTTATAAAAAGGCGATACGTTAGAAAAAAATCGGTAGGTAGTGTTATTGCGTAGTGGCGATAAGGAGTGCATTTTCGTGGGATGTTTTTGAAAATATTCGAAATAGGTACGATGACATTTTTTTGTAACCCATAATCGCGATACGATCTTAAGGTGGCAAAATTTAATAAAAATGGCAGTTAATCCTTAATCAGGGCTTGGGAACTATATTTCTACTTTAAGTATAGGACGTTATCCCCACAAAAATAGTTCACATTTGTTTGAACTAATAAAAAACTTTTACTGAAATAAATGTTTATACAACATTACTGGTTTGTACCTACTTCATGCTAGCCTGATTAAGGGTTAAAAAAGTGTTAAAATCATGTTTTTTATAATGAAGAAAAATTACAAGCATATATAATTATATACAGTAATGTAAGAAGAATAAATTCCATAATAACTAACCATAATTTCATATTATCATTAAAAAATGTAAAATTGTGATTGCAATTGTAATTATAAAATTATTTTCAATCAATTTTCTATAATTTGGATTATTACAAAAAGTCCAATTTCAATTTGTACATTTTTACAATTTTTAAAATTGATTCGTTATCATGTCATTTTAATACACTAAATTAGTAATGACGTAATTTTGGTTCCACTGACAATTAAAGTGACAGTAGACTTACAAAAATAAAGGTTAAGGTACACTTATTAGGCATTCCAACGTCCTGTCAAAATGCTGCACGTGGGTAATGACAGTTTATGATATGGCAACAATGTAGGCTTGTTGTCTTTGACAGGGTCAATGATACATATTGCCAGAGACAACAGAGACGTGTAACTTAATAGGAAAATATGTTCGGTGGTCCATTTAAATTACATATATGACCCTCTTTTTCTTTTACATTGATCTTTACATATGTCTATCTCTCTCCAATAAAACTAACACCATTTTCAGAGGGCGCTGGTGTTGCTGGTTTTTTGACGTCGAAATATCGATTAAAAGTATTAAAACTGACAACTGACAATGTTATGAATGTTGTTATGAACATGTGCATTTTATTAAAATTAATTTAATTTCTTTTAGTCTGATTTTGTTGTTTAATTAATTTTCTTTGGGGGGGAATGTTTATTTTTGCATAATATTTTTTGCATGAAGCAATTTCTGGAACCAAACTCGCGTTTTTGTACACATTTCTTTCTAGAGGTAAGTAATTTCCAATTTATTAAGAAAACCACTGTATAATGTGTGTGTTTAATAATATATTACACAATGACTATAATTATTTTAGGTGAATTGGAACAGAGATCCATTGTTACAGCTACTTGTGTTCATTAAGTAGGTAGATGAATGTCTGGACAGCTTTAATGGCAGCACAAAGTTCCTATCTACTAGAAAAGTAAAATGTATGCTGAGTAAAAAATCTGCACATGTAGTATTGGCAAAGGACTTTTGAAATGATTAGAGATTAGCTATTTCTTACATACACCTACCTCTAACAGCCACTCTAAGGGAAGAAAAAAAATTGAATCACAAAAGGGCAGAATTTTAAATTAGGATGCATTGGAAAATAAATTTGGGGACATCAGGTCGGTTTTGGATTTTAAAGAGAGATCAATCTCAAGAAAAGTTAATTTATCCTGCAGAACAACCAGTAGTTTAAGTAGGATTTGCTATAACTTTATTAGAAATTTTCATTGATAATAAATTGTAATATAGGTACCAATTATTGTTTTAAATGAAATTGAAAAAGAGTTAAATATGAAATTAGATTTTTCATGAGTAAAATGTTATATTCATTCGAACATTGTAAGGTAATCTATAATTAAGGGAATATGGAAAATAGGTATACCCTGGTGGTGTAAGAGAAAGGTAAGGGGCAATTACAAAAATGTATTTATCTTTAAATAGTGTTTATTATTAATAATATTATTTGCTATGTTTGAAAAGTACCTCCTGCTTCTGAACAGATCGAATAGATTAGACTACTAATTGGAGAAGGTCCACCTAGTAACCAAATTAGGAGACTAGGAAAACTTTTACATGACACAACAGGAATGCACACACACAAGATACACAAACAAACGAAATAACAGGGGTAAGCCTTCAGCAACGTCCTGTTTAAATGATGATAGTATGTCATCCTTCATTCCCTTTTAGAAGGCATGGCATATAAATCTATTGATCTTGATTACTATAAGAGGAGTTAGCAGGTTTCGATCCAGTTTACAGGATGGGAACTTACTTGACTCGGGCCTTATACATTTGTGTTGAGTGTATGTGTGTTTCGTTTCCATGGTTTCTATTAAAATAAACAGTCATAACATATCCATACCTTTTTGCCAGACTAACATAAGTGACATTTGTTCAAATGGCACTTATGATAGTCTGGCAAAAAGGTATCGATACTATACTTTATAAAATATTTGTTACATTAGTTTTTAAATATATTATGAATATATAACAACTGTTACTTTCTTTGTAATTTGTCACAAAATGATACGAGGTACTTTCTAAACGAAGCAATTGTAGTTTGTTTTTCTGTACCTTACAAAAATATAATTTATAGAAAAAGAGTTTGGTGTATTATTTTTCCAAGTTTAAATATTTAATAATCAATAGAATTTTCAAGTTTTTTTTTTAGCGAAATTTACAAGAGTAATAAAAACTATGTTCACTGTTTATATTAACTGATTAAAACTTCCTTTATTAAAATGATTATTTACGTGATAAAAAATTTGATGTTATTGGAAGCTTTTATATTTTTTTAATATACAGTGAAACAATAGTTTTTGTTTCTCCTGTAAATTTGTATAGAAAAACTTTATTTCTGAATCCATGTTTGAATTTCCCGCCCTAAAGCATTTTTAATTTTCCCGCTATTTACTAGTGGCGCCATCATAGACTGGTTGTGGTTACAATCGCCCAAATAACTTTTACCGAACAAAAAAAATACATTGAGTTACACGTCTCGCTGGATTGTCTCTGATATTGCACAATGCGAGTTGCATTGCGAGCGGTCCTGTTGCCTCGCAAGTACACTCATTAATCAGAATCTGTTTAGCAAAAATGTGTTTTAAACTACAATTTGGGAACGCAAGACGGAGGCAGACGACAGCAAATATTGCCGTACTAAAAGTGCTGTCGTCGGTCACGCTTTCCCAAATGTGTTTCTTATATTTACATCTTTTTAGATGTGAAGGGACCGTTTTCGGATTTGCTGCCTGTCGCTTGAAGTCGGTCTCGGTCGCGCCTTCCCAAATGGTACCTTTAAAATCAATTAATTTTGTTGAACTACATTGAAATACTAAATGCATCTCTTTTGGCAAATCGTCTGACTGTAACCAGTTTTTATTTGCAGTTTTTAATAAAATATGGAACATATTTATCATTCTAATAATTTTGGAAAACATGTGCATGGATCCAAGACTGAAAACCGTCAAATCTCAAGTGGACGCGGCGAGTTCCACTGACGAATGTCAAGTCACACCTGTCATACACGTGTTGCAATATCCCGGTTGTGTTCCGAAACCTATACCAAGTTTCGCCTGCATAGGAAGATGCGCTTCTTACTTACAGGTAAAAAATTAACGAAAAATTATAATTGATATAAATTGTTTGTTAAAAAGATTCTATCATCCATAAGTTTTCTTAAAGATTAATAAATTTTGAAAATAGAGTCCGATTACAATGAGAAGAGCACAGCTACGTCATCATTTGGCGAAGTAACTCATTGTCTATCGCTGCCTACTGGGGGTTTAGTGGCCTTTAAATATTATAGCAATATAGGAAATATGTTTTTATACCAAACAACTTACTTTTGCTTTATTAATTGATAGTTATAGAAAATATATATTTGAAATTGGAAATAAAGGTTATGACGTAGCATTGTTGTTCTTATTGTAATCGGATTCTACTTGTTTTTTACTATTATGATTGGTTGTAGAAAAAATTGTGTATTCAACTCGCTTTAAATGGAAATATTTTATAAAAGAAATAGATTTTAATTTTGTATGCAAGTATGGTACATAATAAATCGGTGTCTATTATGACAAAGTATTTTCGACACTTTATCAAAAATCAAAGGGGAATCTTCAGAAAAATAAGTCTATGAATTAATTTTTTTTTGTCTGTATCCACGATAATTTAAAAAACATAAAGAAGAAAACACCAAACATTAAACTAAGCTTTAATCCATCCTGTGGTTAGCTGATTAGATTTTGGGCACAGTCAAAGTATCTGGGGGGTACTTTATGGGGGTATTTTTTCTAATTTAAGGTATATTTTTATTTATTATAGAAGAAAATTATTTTATGACGTCAATCTGATATATATTTTTAAACTTTAATAATTTTTGACACATAGGTATGAACAAAAACCTCAAAAAACCAAAAACCCTTTAAAAACCTAACACATTTTTTTGAATTCTTAGGTTTTTGCAACCACAAGTCACAATTTGGAATTTGTTAGGATATAAAAATACAAAAATAATACAAAAGTAGGACACATTATTACTAACCCCTCCCCTTTACTACCGCGTTTATACATTGCAACATTAGTATTTATTAATTTAAATTATAAATTGCTTAAAACTTAAATCAAAATATCTTATGGTACACCCTGTATACACTAATTTTTATATAATAGACAGAGGACTTGAAGAGAAAAACACAAATATAGAATTGAGCACAACAATTTCAAAGATACAAAATAACAACAGTAAAGTGAAACACAATCAATATACAGGGTGGCAATATAAAAACTTCCCACCCTTAATATCATCTTTCCAGTATATAATATGAAAAACTGGAAAGTCATATCAATTTTATTTTTAACCTTAGTGGTTCAACCCCCTAGGAAAGGTAGATGTTCCCTTAGGAATCTTAACTGGGAAAGGAGTCATGTGACACATCATTTTAAAGATAATTTGTATAATTTAGTAATATGACTATTCATTACATTACTTTTGATTTTAGCGCGCCCTGGCGGGATAAAAAACTGTTACCTATTGTACAGTGTGACACTTTATTTGAAAGCTAATTTTATTAGTAATTTAATTCAATAACACAACATAATTTAATGAAACATGAACTTTAATAATTGTCAAAACGTGCAGATATTTAACATTAAAAAATACAAATCTTAACCCTTTTGTTGCAGCAAGCACACATATGAGGTCTGCCCAAGTTGAGCTATATGAGGACGGCACGCTTGTGGGGCCTGTGTATCTCTAAATATAATGGTCTCATTTGAATACCCCAATTAAGTTAATTCTAGAAAATGTTGTCACAGATATGTGACCAATAATTAGGCAACCTTCGTTTCTCGGGAAGTTTTGCTAAACAGTTCCTAGATGGTGTCAGGTTCTAGGTACTTCACCAAAATGAAAATAAAGCACTTCTTAGATATAATTTTGCGTTGTGTTGGATATTAATTACGTAATGGCAGATTTAAGTGAGCTGGGTTTTTTAATACAAAAGTGTGAAACAAAAGTTATCAGTTGAAGATATAATTGAAATTTTATACGATTCAGATAAAGAAAGTTTGCTAAATAACAATAATACGAAAATAATATAACAAACTTATATAAACATATTTCATGAGACACCCTCCGCATATTTTTAAAAAATAATTAAAATATGAGGACGCTTAAGAGTGCCTCACAAAAAAAAAAAAAAACGACAAATACGAATACTGCCGTCGTTAATAAAAACGCCGTATCTACAAAAATTACATTTTCAGATATTCGATATTTTCTGTTTTGTCTTGTGCCATCCACATTTTTAAAGATTAAGGCTTGGTTTTTTGGGTGTAAATCCAGTTAAAGTAATGAAATATGAATATTACTACGCTATATTTTTAGTTCCCACCAATAAACGAAATTTGTATATACGGCATTTAAAGTTAAATTATTTGTTATAAATATTAGATGATAATACCGTATTTACAATATTTTGTAGATACGGCATTTTCAATTAATTAAATTAATACATTGCAGATATTTTTTTTGCCGTATTTGAAAAATATTAATTTACATATTTGAGTAGTTAAGTAGTTAAAAATAAACTTTTTGAAAAATTGACCTAATTAAAGTAACACTAAAGAGAATTCTTGATAATATTATGTGATAATACTTAACAATATTATATTTTCATAAAAAAAATTAAATCTACTCATCAAAATCTTTCATTTCACTGTCGTCCAAACTTGTATCAGCCTGAGAAACTGGTAAATCTTTCCAAAAACTTAATCTATTTTTTGGAATAATTTCAGACAGCTTACTTAATATGTTTTCTTTTCTTTCTTTTAATATACCCCTCGGTTTTTAAGAGGCTTAGGAGGAGGTACTCCACTCTTGTAAGCTTTTGCAGTTAGAAAATTTAGTGAAAAAAAATCGTCATTGAAATTATTTCTGTATTGTAAAGTGTGATCACCTCTTGTGAATCTGACGTGCACCATCGATTGGAGATATGGCCGAGGAGACGTTATGTTTGCACTGAGACGTACAGTCAGGCCATTGGTAAAAGTTTTGAAGTTCCATGACAGCAACGATTACCTTTTTTCCAGATCTCGCATTCTCAACGCAATCAACAAAATCTTGAAAGTCATAAACTTTACCTTTTTTTCTTAATGAATTCTCGACTTGGTGGTGAAATGAGTCTGCACTCATAAAGGTGTGTCCTGGTTCGAAAAACTTAAGTAGCCAAACTATCTACACTTACGGCAAACCGCCCTACCGTTTTACTATTAAAGTAAAACAACGTCTATTATTTTTAGGTCATTTTGCCGTATATGCACAAAAATGTGGCTTACGGCAAATTTCTTTATAGCAAGTAGCATAAATGTATATACGGCAAAACAAAACACATTTAAACTTCAACTTAAAAGGTAGATACGGGTTTTTGAGTAAGGAGAATAGATGCAAGATGAATTATTCCAGTAGAAAATGCCGTAAACCAAAAATCGCAAAATTGTTGGTTACGGCGTTTTCATTAAGCACGGCAGAATAAGTTAGACATAAATCTATATGATACACAAGAACACAATTATTTTTAAAATATATTGTGTAGCAAGTAACAAATATATGCTCTCGTTATGCTACACATTAAATCACTAATAATGTTAGCTTTCAAATAAAGTAAAACACCTTACACTATCTACGTAACAGTTTTTATCCCACTAGAGGGCAATAAAAATCAAAATCAATGCCATTAATAGTTATATTGTTGAAATCTTAATAAATTACTTTTCAAATGATATGTTACCCTTCCTATTTAGAATTCTTAGGGTAACATCTACCCTTCCTAGGGGTTGGACCATGAGAGCTAAAAATATTTATTGAGATGTATCGCCCTTAAAAATAAAATTGACCTGTCTTTCCCATTTTCTCATATTATTTACTAAAAGGTATTAGGGATGAGAAGTTTTCAAATTGACACCTTATATAGTACACTGAATTAGACTGAACTCAGAATATAAATCGTTTATTTAGTCCAAAACTATTTTTTACATGTCAATATATCTTCACATTTAAAATATAAAAAAATACATAAGTATAGAATCAACATACATTTAAAATATAATAAAAAATACATAATATACAGTACACTTACATGTCAACTATACAAAACATAATAAAAGAATAAGAAAGAAGAAACAAAAAAACGTCAATTGATTAACAAGTACTCACGCAGTTTTCTTTTAAATATTGCTACGTTTGAAGAACATTTAATATCTTCAGGCAAATTATTAAAAGCGTGTACACCTTTTAAAAACACTGAATTTTGTGTAAATTTTTTTGTGGCCTTATAAACTCGAAATTTTTTCTTATTTCGTGTATTGTGTTCATGAACATACTGATTATAACTGAAAATATTTTGTAAATATACTGGGGAGATTCCGGATTTAATCTTAAATATAAATAGTAGGGAATAGAATAGCAAATATTTTTTAACAGGCAACCACTGAAGCACATTCAACATAGAATTGATTGGTTCCAATCTCGAACAGCTCAGTATTATCCTCATACCGCTATTCTGCAACTTTTGCAATCATTGCAACTCATTGTGGTTGAGCAAATACAATATAGTGGTACAATAATTAAAATGAGGTAATATTAGAGTATTATAAATTATTATTTTAGCCCATTTGCTGAGATGTGGAGAACATCGCCTCAAATAGTTTATTTTAAATGATATGATTTTGATAACGTTATTAGCACGTTCCTTAAATTGTAAATTTGTATCAACCATAACCCCTAGATATTTAAATTTTTCAACTCTCTGAAACTTTATTCCATCAACAGAAACACACTGCAATGCTACATTTAATTTTTTTAAATTTCCGGTACCCCCAATTAATATCCACTTTGTCTTTTCGTAATTTGTTTTCAACGAGTTTTCGTTACAATAATCATATATTTTACTTATAGAACTATTAATTTCCATAAAACAAGTTTCAGTGTTTTCATGGGTAATATATATCAGTGTATTGAGCATCTTTCAACTTCTGCAGCAATGTCATTAATATAAATTAAAAACAGTAGCGGATCTAGAACACTAACCTGTGGCACCCCCATA